AGGGCTGGTCTGACAAAGGGGGTGGGTGCCCAGCTCCTCCTAGCATGTTCCTTCACCCATCCTCACTACATCTGTCGCTCCACTGTTAGAGCCTGGCACTCCGGACCAGGGCCCGACGAAAGCTGTGGAATGACTGAATGAGTTCTTCCTACTTGGTTTGGGTCTAGAAGGGGTTAATGATTTCAGCGGTAGCTAGTCGCTTCAGAATTCTGTTTTGCATAGTACAGGGGACACCAGTGGGAGGAGTCTTTTAAAAAGCACATTAATAGGATATGCACAATGGAATATTATTCAGCCATAAAAAAGTGGAGTCCTGTCATTTATAGCCAGCCAGGTAGACCTGGAGGACCTTGTGTTTTAAGTGAAACAAGGCAGGCACACAAAGACAGACACTGGGTATTCTCTCTCATGTGGCAAAGCTAAAAATGTGGGTCCTGGAGAAGCAGAGAGAATGGTGGTTACCAGAGGCCGTGAAGAGCGCTGGGGGAGAGAGACAGGTTGCTTTATGGGCACAAAAATGCAGTGTTCTGTAGTGCAGTAGGGTGACCGTACTTAACCATAACTTACCGTGCATTTCAAAGGAGCTAGCAGAGAACATTCCGAATGTCCCCAACACAGAGAAATGATCCGTGTTCGAGGAGCTGGAAACACTGATGACCCTGGGGTGATCGTTGTGTATTGCATACGTGTGTCGACATGCCGAGCCGTACCCCTCCCCCACAAATATGTGGTGTTACTATGTGGCAATTAAAAATGGCTGAAAAAATGTAAGCCCGTAACAGGGAATGGAAAAGAGAGGCAGGCAGACATTTCATCTTGGCCTCAATTGCCCTGGCCTGCCCCTGCATGCTGGGAATCTGTCCTTGAGTGGGTGGGGTCCTCTCTGGGGGGGCTCCTCACCCAGGCACAGGGCTCAGATCAGACTTGATTGATTCCCTGCAAGTCTTTGATATTTGAGAAGGCTGCTAAATTCTTGCAGGGCCCTGGGGTCCAGCTCTTCTTGAACTTTCCCTGGTCACCCCTCTAGCCCCTCCCCGCATTCCCACCTGCTGTTCCAGCTTCTGCCCTCCATGACACCAAACTGGCTCTTGGCTTGGTTTTCTGCTGTGCTGTGCCCCTGGCGTGGCTCTCCCCTCCCTGTCTCTGGGCCCCTCAAGCCTGTGCGCTGCTTTCCACCAGTTGTGTGCGTGTTCTTCAGTCCCCTGACTATACCCCGGGGCTGCTGAAGTCCACTGCAGAAGTGAAGGCTCAGTCAAGGCAGAAGGGGGGGTGATGAATTATTATGGCAATGTTTGCCTAGAGTTTTAATGAGACTGCCTTTCCTCCCCTCCCCCGTTCCCCCCAGAGCCGCACCCCCTTTGTTCCAGCTCAGAACATCCATTTAGAATGTTGGTGCTTTGGAGACTTGGAACGTTAGGTTTTCACATTCTGCACCCAGCGCCTCGCGGTGATAAATAAATCAATACGCTGATTGCTTGAGTTGGTTGATTGCTGAGAGCGTTGGGGCACCTTTTGTTCTTGAATAAGTGATCATTTCCCATTAGCCAACAAGAGACAAACGTGGATGTGGGGCTCATCCTGGCTTCCGATTCCCAACGCTGACCCGGGAAATCACCGTTCCCAGCCGCGTGGCTGACTCCGGAGCAGCCTGCCCGATGCACTGTCTCCTTCCCTTTGACAGTTTGCCCAAGTCATAGGTGGCATAAAAACATTTCTGCCTTGCCAGAGTAGGCCTGCGCTTATTGTAAATCTGACAGGTCCTCCGACATCACATTCTCAAAGCTAACAGATAATTTATACCAAGATGTTGCCTCAACGGGAAGTAAGATTGTCTGATTTTCAATTTGGGTTGAAAATCAAAACCAAGTTATGACAGCCCTGAGCCTCGTCCACCCTGTAGATTAACCGTGATTATCTTACCGTGAAGTACACTTTGTGATGGGAACCACCCTCCGTTGACTGCCTCTGTCAGAAACCATCGATTGGAAAGCGTCTAGTAGGATAATGTCATTTCTAAAGCCTTGTTTATTTCTAGCTGTGTTCCAATCACAATATGGTTGTCCTCGGTTTTATGCAACAGGTATGGCCCTGAGGAGTTGTTTATAAACTGCATTTTTACAGATCAATTCATATGTTAAATGCACAAGAGGAGCTTTTATTTTACTTTGTGCATTCTTTTATTATTAGAGAAATGACTCCCAGACTCACGTGATCAGACGTTGGGTCTTATTTAAATGAGGTCATCTCCATATGAATCAGACAAGCTTACCGGTAGGCTGCCATTCGAGGTATTTCTGGCTTAGTTATGCCATATTTTCTTCCAATAGGAGCCTGCAGGTTTTTACAAGTTCTACATTTTCTCTCCGATATGCAGAAGGCTTACCCAGGAAAAAAATCTGTCCCTGTTGGAGTCTCACCTTGTTTATTCTTGTCTTATTATTTCAGGGCAGGATGCAGGGGTGCCAGCTCAGAGCTGGGATCACCTGTGATGTTCTTCTAGAATATTAGAAATCCTGTTAGGTAGTTTCTCATGAGCCCTTCAGCCTAGCGCCCCACAATTCCGTGCATTCTTGTTACATAGTGGCTTAAAAAATGTATTCTTGTCTCTCAGCTGGTTGCTTGTCACTCGGGCTTTGCATTCGTGATTATTGTCAGGCATCGGCTGGGGCTGCAGTCATCCGAAGGCGGGGTTGGGCTGGAAGATAAGATGGCACCTTGACATGATTGACAGTTGAGGCTGCCTGGCAATTGAGAACTCAGCTGCGCTGTGGACTAAGAGCACATCCATGTGCCCTCTTGTGTGGCTTCTGCTTCTCATGGATAGGTGGGACTTTCCCTCTTGGAATCCAAAGAGAAAGTGTTCTAAGAGACCTGAGCGTGGGATGCCAGGAACATCATGTCTGCCAGATTCTATCAGTTTAGAGCCCAGGTGTGGCTTGCCTCCTGTTGAGTTGCAGCATGTGCACAAGGGGCAAAGGAATAGATTGGATGCTTAATGCAGGAAGAGCTGTCTCTGGAGGAACATGGTTACATGAAGGTGAAGGGCTCAGGGGTCACTGTGGACTGTGTGGGCAGGTTACAGAATGCTCAACATGTACAAACGGATTGGCCTCCTTGGTGAGAACGCTCCACCAGGGAGCATACTTGAAGGAGCCAGTTCGCATCCTACAGAGAGAAATGCTCCCATCCAGTGTCCCCAGCCCTACATCAGCACACTCATATTACAGAAGCTTGAAAAAAAAAAAAAAAGGAAAAACTGGGAAGGAAATCTAAGGCATGTTTATCTAGAGTCTACCCAAGCACGTGTCCTACTTACATTGTGTCAATAAAATCCTCCTTGCAAATTAGAACCACAGACACAGGGGAACTGTCAAGTAAAGTACCCGTCCAGGGACTTTCCCGTCGTATATCTGGAGATGTTTGGAAAAGGCAGCGCCTGTGGAGCGGCGTATGCACGTCGAGTGGCCGCTTTTTAGTGTTGAGGAGGAGTCACGTGCCGCCCGTGTGCTTGCAGGTGCGACTGCTTCAGCAGCCTTCATCAGCGTCACGGCTGCCCCGTTCATCACTCTGAGCCACAGGTACCCGGATTCCAGCTGCGGCGCTTGGCTGATCCGGATGCATAGGCTGACAGCACCCTGGAATCTATTACTTTTCACTCGTTGTAGCTAGCATCTTTTTCCCTTCCCCCTGCGCACTCCTCTCTGGCTCCCTGGGGATTCAAATTTGTGTTTATCTGTGCTAAAATAGAGGCAAGATAAACAACATTTTCAACTATTTATAACCAGAGGCTGTGCCAGGAATGAATTCGGCTTTGAGTTAGACATATGTTAAGATGTTGATCCCTGGGAAGAGGAGGAGCCATCTCCCAGGTGTGCGGAGCAGATGTTTTGAGCAGACTGATTGGAGTTTCACCCGGAGTATGTGGAATTGGAGCTTGTCTTACTTTGTGCTGCTACAACAGAGAAGCTTCTGGAGGCTGGAAGGTCCGCATTAGGGGCCAGTGTGGGCAGGTTCTGGTGAGGACCTTCTAGGCTACAGACCACCTGCTTCATCTTTAGCCTTGTGTGTTAGGGTACAAGAGAGACCTTGGCGTCCCTGTTGCCTAGGAAGGCTCTATGTTCATGACTTCACTGCCTCTCCAGTAGTCTCCATCTGCCTCCTGGCTCTGTCACACTGGGAATCAGGATTTTGATACACGATTTGGGGCTGAGGGAGGGGACCCAGTTACTCATTCCATAGCACTCTGTTGACTTGCTAAGCTTACCCGTGTGAAGTGCTTAGGGTAACAGATCTGGAGATGCCATTTATACAGGTCCTGTATTTTTATATTCCCAAGAGAGCATGTCAAAGGGCAGGGAACAGGCTCTGGATGGGGTCTTGGGAGCACCTTGGAGTACTTGAGAGGAGAGAGACCCACACTTGCCAGCCTTCTGTAGGTTGACATAGATAGAGGAGTCCTGTCATGTTCACCAGCCCTGTGAAGAGTCCACATGCTCCCCATCAACAGCCTAACTAACTGCTCACCTCTCAGTGTAGACCTGCAGTCCACCTGCCAGTGTGGACCGAGCTCCGGCCACGTGATAGGCACTGTGATACATGAGGGGGGAGTAAGACACCAGAGTTCTCAGGTTGGCAGATATGCAATAACCAGAACTCAAACAAGTGATTCAATGATAGGTTATGATTAGTGTTATGCAGAAAAGAGGGTGTGATGAAGAATGACAGTCACAGGTGGGATTTGGGATAGGATGACCAGGATAGCCCTCCAGGGAGCTGGCATGAATGATCTCCAATCCGTTGGTTAAACCGCGACATATATTATGTGGCATTTTAAAGTTTATCGAATTGCATGTTGTAAAGATTCAAGCTAACATCATTTTTGCCTTTTCTTAGCCCAAATTGCAGAATGTGGAATGGACAGCAATTCTGAGAAGCAGAAGGAAGCAGGTTGACCGTTCCCCCCTGGGCGAGACTTTCTCACGACACCTTTCTCTCCTTAGGGAAAGGAGACGTATTTGGGGATGTGTTCTGGAAGGAAGCCACCCTCGCCCAGTCCTGTGCCAACGTGAGGGCCCTGACCTACTGTGACCTGCACGTGATCAAACGGGACGCCCTGCAGAAGGTGCTGGAGTTCTACACGGCCTTCTCCCACTCCTTCTCCCGGAACCTCATCCTCACCTACAACTTGAGGAAGAGGGTGAGCCGACGCTGTCCGTTCTTTTTTTCTTGTTTTGCCAAGAGCAGTCCTTGTGCACGGAGGATAATCCCTCGGGTCAGGAAAGTTCCTTTGCTGTTTATTTAAGTAACACATTTGGTTCTAAAGAGATTCTGTTCGTCGCTTGCTCTGCAGAGATTTTTGCTAAAAAATGGAGGTGAGAAGGCGTTTGTTCACGATTAGAAGGTGGATCAGTTTTGATGCAGAGGGGATTTGCTCGGGAGTGTGTCTGTGGCCTTTCATCCCAGCAATATCTAGATCTAGCATTTTGAAGAGAGGAGGGAAATGTGAGGTTGGTAGTCAAGGACATGGCTGGGTGGCCCACTTCATTCTGTAAACCGAGTTCTCCCTGGGGACTGGGACCTGCAGAGCAGTGTGAGGCTGTTAGCCAGGTAGCTGGTAATAACTTTTAAAGATAGGAAAATAATTTAGTTGGGGCCAGAAAATAAGAAAGATTTGGAATTTGAAAGCCTTGAAATTTGCTGGTCTAGGGAATAGTTTGTATCCAGCTGCCAACTGAACTGGTTGAGAAGTGATTAGTGGTTTAAGAGCCATAGAATTTCCCACCTGAAGGGTTTTTTTTTTCCCTTTCTCATGCTCAAATGATCAGAATTGTTCCATCTGTCTCTAAGGATTAAAATATTTGTCCGTACTCTTAATATTTTCACGACAGATTTTTGTGCATTTTGTCTTTTTGGTTAAATCATTACTGAAACTAGAGTAAACCCTCTGGAAAGATCAGCGTGGGAATCTTCCCCAAAAAGACTTCCTAACCGTTCGCGCAGCCTGTTCCTGTCGCTACGTGTTTGCCTGGCCTGATTCATCCCAGGATCCCGCGTTGGGAGCCCTGGCATCAGTGTGGCTGTTTCTCCTCCCTCTCCCACGCCTCAGCTTATTCTGCAGATCCTGTCACTTCCCCCCAGCTCTCAAATCTGAGTCTCTACTTTGCTCCCATCCCACAGGAATCGTAGGACACAAAGCTCCTTATTGCGGGGTTCCCTGCCCCTGCCCTGACCGGGTCGCGCCGTGGACTCCACCCTCACCTGCCTGCCCTGTGTCTGTCCTGGGTACAGTGCTTCCTCCTTATAGCTGCTCCCTAACCTAAACCCGATCATGCCGCTCCCCCAGCTGACTGCAGGATAGCGTGTGCACATTTCAGCAGGGCTTATGTGGTTGTCCACATCTGGCCCAGACTTGACCCCTGAGCCCCAGCCTCAGCGATGCTCCCCCAGGCCTCCCCCTGCCACCCAGAACTCCCACCCAGAGACTGCCACGGGATCCTTCAGGCTGGCCCCGCCCTTTGGAGTGCTGAGTCTCAGCTTGCTGCTTCCTCATCCTGGAATTCCTTCTCTCCCGCGAGTGATGCCCCCTGTTAACTCTTCCGACTCTGCTACAACACTTATTTGTTCCGCCATCAAACACAATACTGTGCCAACCGAGCTGGACTAGATAGAGAAAACCAAATATATAAAACCAAATGCTCAGTTCTCTCCGACCAGGAGCCTAAAGCCCAATACAGGAGATGGATACAGGAAGGGATTGCAGCACTCGATGCCAAGTACAATCACTGTGATTTGTGCAAGGAATTGTGGGAGTGTGAGAGAGGAGAGCAGCTAAAGGGGCAGCAGGAGAGAAAGTGTGGGAGGGTGGGACCTGAGCTGAGTCTGAAGTATGTGTTTGCCAAACACACGGGGCAGGTGTTCCACTTGGAGAGAAGTTGGAGCAACGTCCAAAGAAAGGAAGCAGCCTTTTGTCTGTGGAAGTGCTTTGTATGAGATTCCAAGTGCCTGTCGTCGTTGGATTACACCGACAGCTTGCTTCCCTCTATTCTTAATCTCTTGACTTGTGTTGTCTTGTGAGTCCCTGCTTGGAGACCGGCCAGGGCCAGGCCTGGTGCCTTGGTCCTCAGTGCCTAAGTGAGTGCAGGGGGATCTGGACTTAGTAAAGCTTTGAGGATGACAAGGAGGCAGAGACCGAGTCTCAGGGTCTCAGCGTCTACATCCTAACAGGCCAGGTTGTGGCGAGATGGCTTTGGTGGTTCTGTGGTTTGAAACTTGGCCATTTTGATTCCAGTAGATCATGGGTACTTCTCCCTGACGTATCAGTCAAGAATGCTTGCTGATCACTCTGTTAGCCAAGTGCATTCTCTTAAAGTTTATTTTCTTGTTTGTTTATTACATCTTTCCCTGAAAGCAAGTTCATTATACAGTTGAAAACTCACCTGCCACCCACGGTTGGGGTCATCTGGAGGAGTATCATCTTGGAATAATTGTGGACCAAATAAGCCTGTCTCTAACCCAGGCCACCACTGAACAGTGTTTCAGGGGTCAGGTTGTCAAAGCACAGAATGACTGATCAGTGGAGAAGAATAGACTCAAGGCCATGTTGTTTTTGTTATCGTTGTTTCTTTTCAAGATTTATTTATTTGAAAAAGTAGAATGGCAGGGACTTACCATTCACTGGTTCATTCCCCAAATGCCTACAACATCCAGGGCTAGGCCAGGCTGAAGCCAGGAGCCAGGACCTCCCTCTGCATCTACCCTGTAAGGGGCAGATGTCGGGGTACCAGTGTCGCAGCAGCAGCTTCCTAGGCCCGTGCATGATTGGACGCACAGAGTAGTCGGGACTTGAACCCGACACTCCAGGATGCAGGCGTCCCCAGTGGCGACTTAACCCGCTGTACCTAAGCTCCCATCCTGGGGCCACGTTTTTAGAGGGCTCCTGTGGAGGGGTCTGAACAGCTGCAAAGTGCAGAGGAAGAAGCAAAGCTGTAGATAGATCTTGGCACCGTCCAAGGACGTCCTTTGGAAAGATCAGAGCTCCCGAGGAATGGGATCATCTGCTTTGAATGGCGTCGGGTTTGTGTCTCTCGTGGCACTTAGGCATCCCCTCGGTTCCCACACTCAGAAACGTCATGGAAGGGACTTCAGCATCCAAGGGGAGCCAAACCGAGCTGCCCTTCACACGTCCTTCCAACCCGAAGTGCGTATGAGTCTGGGACGCGTCCAGAGGAATTTTAGCGAGAGCCTTCATATAAAGAGGCAGCATCCTGCCTGCCTTTTTTTTCTTTTCTTTTTGGGAAAAAAAAAGAGGCTTGTCATTTTGGTAGTGCCATTGTAGTCTCACATTATGTCCCTCTGGGAATTAATTCACAGTTACACAGGGCATAGAAGACAAGAACATTACATGCATGAGTTGTTCTTGTAGCTTTTTTTTTCCTGGCAGAGGGAAGTATTTTCTTGTGGCTGTTTCTATCTTGGCAAAATTGAGGATGCTGTTTGTTAAGGTTCCTGAGAACACAGTGCCTTCCATACCTGTCTGGATGGGTGGTTGATCTTGGAGATCTCCTCCCACATGCAGCAAAATGTTTGAGTTGGAAGGTACTTCAGTGGCCAACCCGTCTGTTCCCAGGTACCCACTGGCCTCGTGTCACAAATGTGACATTTTATAGAAAGGTCACAGAGCTGGCTTTGTTTCACCAGGAGCCTTCCTGCTTCTCACAGCTTCCGGGCCTGTTCTGGCCCCTTTATTCTAAACCTTGTTGCTTGAGCCCTAAACCCAGGAGTGTCATCAGCTCTCCGTGTGCGCTGGTGATCCGACTCAGGAAGGAACCTGTTGCCTCCCTCCATTTCCTTCAGAGTCACATGAGGTCATGGGCAAGGATGAGAAGGCAGAACCTGGAGCTGCTCCAGGATTTTGACCTTTCGTTCTTTTTTTGTCTGTGAGCTCTGAGCCAGACAAGATCTCAGTCTGGGTCTTGTCTCTACCCACCTTGGTACTTCTGTGATTCTGTACAGACGATCAAAGCTTCCTCATCTGTCCGACGGAGGCGATGAGAACGTCTGCTTTGTCAGATATGTTGTGAGGATTACCTAAGGTCATGCTTACAGCTTTTACCTGCAAGGTCTAGTGCGTAGTAAGTTCATGTGTGGGTGGCTGTCATTTTTGAGGGTCTGCTTGAGTGGTACCCTATCATTTTGTGCCTGTTGAGAAATCAAAAGGCAGGCATTCTGCCTTTGTCAGACAGGGCACCTGCTCTGCAGAAGGGCCTGTGGGGTGGGTGCTGTTTTTGCAGTAAAGGGAGGACCAACTGCCCTGGAAAGCAGAACCCTTATAGCACCGCAAGGAGCGGGGCCGTCACTCGCTCACGTGTCAGGCCAGTTTTCTTGGAGGGAAAGATCTGGCTATTCTGAGATCTCAGATTGGTCACGAGGGAGGTAAGAGGAAGGCACAGCATCCTCGTCTCCTCTGAGGGAGGCAGCTCAGGGCTATTCACGGAAGCAAGAGGAAGTGGAGCCGTCCTCGCCCCAAACCCTCGGCACTCCAGGGAGCCTGTGGCATTTCGCTCCCGGCCCTGAGTGCTCTTCTGTCTTTACCCAAAGCATGGACACTATGCATGGTGAAATCCTGAGGCTGCACGAGCTACGTCACAAGGCCAGCACGTGTTGCGTGTCGCTTACTAAATCCCTGGAACCGCGACATGGCCTTGCCGTCACATCCCTATTTCTCAAGGGAATAAACTAGGGCTCTGTGGAGAGAAGAATCCTTTCCAAGGTCACTCAGCCAATAAGTGATGGCTGCCAAACCCGTGCGTGCGTCTCTGCCTCAGCAGCCATGGCATCCTGTGGCAGAGCCTCCGGGAAGTGTGGTGCTCAGCTTTTCCCATGTTGCATTCTCTGGCTTTCTTCCAGGCCATTGAATTTTCAGGGGCAGCAGGGGTTGTCTCCTAAGTATGGTCAATGGCTGTCACTGCCCCCTGCACCATGGGAAGCTTGCACAGTGTTAGCACAGTCATACCCCAGGTGGGGGGTGTGAGAAGTTACCCTCCTGGTGACAGGTGCACTAGGTTTGTGGCTGGATGTGCTGGAGTGTTGGGCAGTGGACTAACCTGGCCGCGGTAACTCACTAGGAAGAGCCCTTCTTTGGGTCTTAGACCTAAGGTTAGAATACCAATGTGAGTTGAGTAGCTGTGTGCCCTTGGG